TTTTTTAACTCTGTTCAGCTGAGTGCAGTATCATTTTAGAGTAGTAAACCCATTCATTTTGTCAAGCAAATTTTGAGAGTTCTTCCAAAACCTGTTGTCTTTATATCAGTAAGATATAATAAAGGGGCCTGGGAGATAGCTCAGTAGAATAAGCGCTTGCCTCACAAGCACAGGGTCCTGAGTTCAATGCCCAGTACCACAAAAAAAGAAAAAAAAGAAAAAGATATAAAGCAAAGTATTTTATCTATTTAGTCACTAATATAGGGGCTTCCAGGTTAGCTCAGTTGTTAAAATCGCCTGTTTGGACAAACTCAGTCAGGCACAGGGGACCATGGTTTGATCCCCAGCTCCATAAGCGGCACCAGTCACTAATACATGCTTTCAAGAACTGCAAATAAAGCGCAAGGGCCTGAGTTCAATCCCCATTCCACAAAAAAAAAAAAAAGAACTGCAAATAAACTGTATAGGGTGGTGTACCTGTAATTACACCTTTTACTCCAGCATGCAGGAGACTGAGGCAGGATCATAAGAGTTCAAGGCCAGCCTGAATTACATAGTGAAACTGTTTCAAAAGCGGGGAGCGAGGGGCCGGGGAGATGGCTCAGTGGAATAAGCGCTTCCCTGGCAAGCACAAGGGTCTGAGTTCAATCCCTGGTTCTGCAAAAAAAAAAAAGGGGGGGGGGCAGGAAGCGGAATAGAGCTGCCATTGCAAATGGAAAGGGGACCTAGAGATGAGAGGACATTAAGATGTGTTATGAAAAAAAAAAAAAAGATGTGTTATGTACATGTACCAACTCCCCACAATGAATGTAATCATATACAAGAAACATGTACTAATAAAACTTTGTGTGTGTGTGTGTGTGTGTGTGTGTGTGTGAGACACTGAAGATCGAACCCAGGACCTTATGCATGTAAGGCTAGAACTGTACCACTATGCTACATTTCCAGCCCCATAATAAACTTTTTTAAAGTCTCATTACACAGATCAGACTCGTAGTGATTCTCCTGTTTTCAGCCTCCTAAGTGCTGGGATTACAGACACATGCTACCACACCTACTCTCATTCGTCCCCTCAGTGTCTCGAGGGCAGGGCTAGCAATGGCACACAGGGGCTCGAACCTCAGGCCCCGCACCTGCCTAACCAGGTGCTTTAGTCTGCTGAGCTGTCTGGCCAGCTCTCTGTAATAAACTTTTTTGAGACAGGGTCTCACTATGTAGCCCAAGCTGGTCTTGGACTTTTCAGTGATCCTTCTGCCTCAGCCTCCCAAATGCTGGGATTACAGGTATCATCTTCATGCTTGGCACTAATAAATATTTTTTTAAAAAAGAATTTAGGATATTTTTAAGAAATAGATTAATCAGGGGCTGGGGAGATAGCTCAGCAGTCTAAGCACCTGCCTGGCAAGCATAAGGACCAGAGTTGGATGCCCAGTACCACATGCTGTGCTGGCCTCTGAACCTGGGATGTGGTGTGCTGTGCCACGCTGGCCATCGAAACCAGTACCAAAAAAGAAAATAGTAATAAATAAAGTTTGAAAGAAAGAAAAGAAATAGATTAATCAGACTGGGTATGGTGTTGCATGCCTATAATCCTCGTACTTGGGAGGCTGAGACAGAACTGGTACGAGTTCAAGACCATCCTGTGCTACATAGTTCAAGACAAGCCTGAATTACAGAGCTAGGCCCTATCTCAAAGCAAAAGAAAAAAAATTAGTTTAATAAAGTATAGGCAAATGGGCTGGCGAGATGGCTCAGTGGTCTAAAGCACCTACTTGGAAGAAGCTCGGCAAAGCACAGGGACCGCGGTTCAATCCCCCAGCACCACATGCCAGCCAGCCCCGCCCCCTGGTGGGCTGAGCTGGCCAAACACACACACACACA